ATTCGCGTTGCTGTGCCCAAAACGCCTCCGTTGCGGTGTTTCCAACCCATTTCTCAACTGTCGATGGTAGGTGCGATAGCTCGTTTCTGAGGCGCCCTCGCTTCATTTCCCAGAGCGCGGCGCTAGGGGTCGCTGCCGGTTCAGCGCCGGTGGGTTTGACGCGTGCACTGTGAGTGGGCCAACCGCCCTGACCCCGCCAATACGGGCATGGCATGTGTGGGCCCTGGTCGAGTGAAAAGGGCTTGTCTCTCTCGCGCGCTCACGGGGTGTACATAGGGGTGCGAGAGAGACAGAGCGACGAAAGCACGTTTCGAGTGCGGGTCCGCTAGGTTCAAGGCAGCGGTCGCTTCATTACGTCGACTTTACCGCCCGGCACTTACACTCGAAATTAGGTTTCGGATTTACAGTGCCGTGAGTCCATCCCAGCAGTGTGTGTGAGAGTGAGTGTGTGTTTGCGCACCCGGACGCGCATCCAAGAGGCCTGCCGGTGGCATGCACTGCGCGCCAAATGATTTTTCGCTGAATGTAACGACCGGCGATACTAAGTCACTGCTAACCAAGCTGTCGGGGACTAATGCAACCAAACATTAGGTAGCGTATAGTGCACCTTCCCCCGGGGCCCAGGCGGTGCGCGCGGTGCGCGCCGGGCCGTGGCGAGCCGAGTGAGCCGCGCCGTGCCAAGTCCATAACGCGGCCCGACTCTAATGACACCTCGCAGACCGAGAGTCGTTTCCGTCGCCCTGTCTCTCCCGCACTCGCGGCGCGTCCCATGCAGGTGCGAGAGAGACGGAGCGACGACTCCGAGTCGAGTGTGCTGGACGGGGATCCCGCCTGACTGATTGGAAAAGCGTCCCTGCCGGCGGCATTTGGCCTGTGAGGCTGTGCAGCCGCTCTGCAGAGGCACGCGCGCGCGTCGCCGTGCCGCGCACTCTGCCAAGGCGCGTGCGTTGAGGTCTCCCCCGGAGCCGTCGAGAGGGAAACGAAACCAAGTTCAGTTCAAAGTTATCCAGTTAACTAGAATGTGATTTAAACATCGAAATAATTTTGAAATAAAGAGGGAAATCCGCAAAAAAAAACTCAAATACTTTCAAATGGTTCGGGGAAATGCCTACTCTCCAGCCCAAGGGTTGCCCGCGCGGTCTCTGCGCCTCGCCACGCCGCCGTCGGTAACCTCCTCGCCTTGCCGCGGACGACCGCGACGGGGGGACGTCGCCGACGTCTTGTTCGGCACGAAAGTGAACACACACTTTTACACGAATCGGTTGGGTCACGTCCCGTCGTCGGCCGCGACTTGTAAGCAGGCCGAGCGGAGCAGCGCGCGATCATGTTTGGTAAGCGTATACCCACCCTAGATCGCCCAGCGCGGACACGCGTGCGTGTGTGTGTGTGTGTGTGTCTGCGTGCGCGCGCGCACCGTGTCGCACACGTATGGTGACACAAATGTACTGGGAGGGGTAATGCGAAGGCTGCTTCAGCACGCAGGATTTCATTTCGATGGCTTGTAGACGCGCAGGGGGGAGGGGGGGGGGGGCAATCGTCGGGCTCCTTCGCCTCCTTCGCCGAGAGCTTATTGCACATGCAACACTGATAGCATCTTCTCTTTGAAACACAATCGCTCCAGATGAATATTATGAACTCGTTTCCATCCGCCGGGCCGGCAGTAAATATTGGTCCGGTCGGCCGGCCGGCCAGCAGGCCTAGCAGATGGCGTCGGATTGATGCTCGCGGGGTCGGGGTGAAGGCGATGCTCTTGACGGGTAAATTGAGACTGGCCCTCGTGAAGACGCGCGCCGACGACGGCGTCCTGGCGGAGACGTGGCCTCGGGGGCCAGCGCGGTGCTGCGCCAGGACAAGAGCCCCGAGTCCTTGATGAAGTCGGCCGCGAGCACGCCGTCGAACGCGCGCATGCGAACCGAACGCCGCGGACGCGCGGCCGCCTGCCCGTCTGTCCGGCGTGTCCGTGTCGATACCCCCCGAGTGACTATCTTTGGATCTGTGGTCGGCTCGAGTTGCACGGGGCCGCCCTGGCCGCGCTGCCGCCGCGCCGCCGCACGCATGCACACAGTGAAAGGGCTCGCGGGTAATCAACGAGAAAGTACAAAGTGGGCGATTTGTTTTTCCTCGAGACGCACTGCCAGTGACACCGTGTGGAGTGGGCGCGAGGCCCAAGGGGTTCCCGTGGTGGCTTCCCCGGGCCCAAAGCATGCCCCGGCGCAGTGCTGGGTTGTGCGGCGGATAAGAAGGATAGCCTCCCCGCCGAGACTCGTGACTCAGTTGACTTTGCATAGGGAGCATTGCGGTGCAAGAGGACCTGCTGCTTCGTGTTGGACTGTCCCTCTCTCTCTCTCTGCACTACCCGTGTCGTGTACCCCTTTTCGCACTGTCTCCCTCCACCCCCCGCCCCTCGTCTGCTCTCGGTTACGACTTTGCACGCAACAATGGCGAAGCCTTGTTGTGTTGGCGAAACTGCACCGGCCGGTCCACGCAGCAAGGCGGTGCTGCGAATAACAAGGCAGGCGTGTAACCAAACAGCAATTCGCGCCGGCCGACGTAAAAAACGGCGAAACAGACAGAACCAGTACCGCGCGATTTTGCGCTATTGTGCGTGTAGTGCCGCGGCGACGGTCGCGTGGCGCGGGTTCGCGGTAGGCACACCGATTTCACTCGAGGCTGGCGGCGACTTAGCATGCTAAGCAGGTGCCCGGGGGCATGAATCGGGAGAGAGAGAGAGAGAGAGAGAGAGAGAGAGAGAGAGAGAGAGAGAGAGAAGGGAGAAAAATACGAGGAACGGGAAGAGAACATTGTTAGCACGGCTGTTAGTTTCCCACTGCACTATGCTCAGAGCTAACTCTTTTTTTTTCGCCCTGTTTGTCGTTCCGCGGTATTGGAACGAGAAAAGAGCGCGATGCTGTCTGGCTGTCGCAGTGAGACACGCACTGACGGACGAATGGGCGGGTCCAGATCAGATGCAGTGCAGCGCAGCGCGTATGCTCATGAGCTTATCTTCTCCGAATCCATTGCGAAACGTGTCCGTCAGCGGGCGTCACGCGTGCGGTGCGAGCGACGCGTGGCGGGTTCGAATCCCGGCGCTGGCTCTTTTTTTTCAGGAGGGAGGGGGGTGTTTCTTGCCGAGAAACTAAGTGAGTAAGACGCGGGCGATCGTCCCCCCGGGGCGATTCCGTGAAGCGTCGCTGGGAATGAGTGCACCGCACGGCACACTGGACTAAGCAGAGAGAGAGAGAGAGATTGATGAAACCAATATGACTTGGCTCGAGCCGAGATTTCAGCGTTCGATTTGCGCGGGACCGATTCGTTGACTTTGAGTGTCCCCCTCCCCTTGGTCACTCGAGGATCAGATGGAAGCAAATAGCTGCCATCGGGTCCAACGCGAGAGGTTGATGAATCACCGCAGCCTCCAACGTGAGCGTGGCGCTGGGTGCGGCACTGGGATTGCAGTGTGGTGCCGCTCGCGGTGTTTGCTTTCAGTTTGGCCTGCGGGCGAATAAATTTACCAACCGAACGACGCTTTGATCTCGTTGGTTTTGTCGCCGCCGAACAGTTCGAAACAATTGTCAAAAGTGAGTGGAAGAATTTTTTTTTTCGCGTGTCTTGCCGGCCGTGATCAATCAGCAGTCTGATTCCGAGAGTCGTTTTCGTCGCTCGTCTCTCTCGCACTCATGGGGCGTCCCCGTTTGGTGGGAGAGAGACAGAGCGCCGAAAACGATGAACCTGCTGCCTATCTCGCCGGCCGATCTCCGGCTTCTCTCGGCAAGCCCGCTTCGGCCGATCCGTTGTCGCCCGAATCAAAAATGGGGCGGGGCGGCGAGGCTGGGCGAGCCGGCATGCGTACACGGGGTATGACCCACAGCCCGGGGTGCGAGTCTAATTGCCGATTGTGTGGCGGAGCTGCTGTCTCTCTCGCACCCCTATGAGACGCCCCGCGAGTGCGAGAGAGACAGAGACCGCGGCAGTCGGACTTGGCGCGGCGCGCGACCTTCCTCAAGGCTGGGAGCGGCTGGTCCCGCACCCCGCCAGGCCCTGGCAAGGCCCGCCAGGCCCGCCGCCGCGACTGGGTGCCTCGCAGCGCCTCGCGGCCGCCGCCGAGCACTCCGTCTTGGCCAGGACACATGATGTCACTTTGTGATCTCATCGACGGCGTCCCCGCCAATGGCCTGGCCACTGGCCCGGCTTGGCCAACGGCAGCGCGATCGGTCAGTCCGAATGGTTGATGGAGCACCGCGCCTGCCCGCTGTGCTACCGTTCCGAAATAGAGGCCCACGAGTCGCGTGTGGCCACACTGTGGCGCCGGCTGCCTTGCAGTAAACGCAAGAAAGCTGCTAATTTCGGCCCGTCGCCCCGCCAGCCGGTCCTGCACGCAATTTGTCTCGGCGCCGCCATTCGTCTTCGTTCCGAAAGCCGAGTGCCGTTCGGGTGCGTTCGGGCCGCGTTCGGGTGGGTTCGGGCCGCGCTCCAGTTGGCGCCGCGGACGCAGTCGGAATGCGCGGCGCGGATTTACGAGCGAGCCGCGTCGCGACGCCCGGCGTCCCGGCACGCGTAATGACGCGCGCTGTCTCTCTCGCACACGCGGGGCGCCCCGTCGGGGTGCGAGGGAGGCGGTGACACCGCTCGGACGCAGCCCGCAGGACGGCGGCCTAACCTTTTGCTGAATGGGTGCATGTGAGCGCGGTGGCGGCGCGGCGGTGCGCACCCGAACGGCCGGCCGCCTCGGACAGGGCGTACCTCACCTCTCCGCGGTGCCGCGGTCAGGAAGGCCGCGCTGTGACGCAACAAGCGTCTCTGCTCGCGTTTTGTTCGCCGTGACGGCCGCGTTTAGCCGTCCGAGCAGTCCGTCTCTCTCGCACCCACGGGGCCTGCCACAAGCGGTGCGAGAGAGACTGCGCCATTGTCCGTACAGCACGCGCGTGCGTGCGTGCGGTGCGCCGTCATGGCGTTGTATCGGCTGTGCATTGACGCTGTGCGTTGTCTGTGTGTGTTTGCAGTGCGCAACGGCTACTCGTGCGTGCCCGTGGCGCTGTCCGAGGGCCTGGACATCAAGCTCAACACGGCGGTGCGCCACATCCGGTACAACGCCACCGGCGTCGAGGTGGTCACGTCCAACTCGAGGAACCACAGCAACGCCGTATCCTACAAGGGTGAGTTCAATGCCCAAATTTTTAATCACAGTTTTAGACATTTTTTGCACTTCTTAAGCCAATCTTTGACAATTCTTTGAATTTTTAGTGACGTAATGCCCTTTTTTTTTAAAGCAAAATGCCCTTTTTTTTTTAAAAAAAAAAATCCCTTTCTTTAAAAAAAAAATGGTTATTTGCAGCCGACGCGGTGCTGTGCACGCTGCCGCTGGGCGTGATGAAGCAGAGCACGGCCCCGCAGGCCGCCTCCATCCCCAACACGGTGCAGTTCACGCCGCCGCTGCCCGAGTGGAAGGTGGCCGCCATCCAGCGGCTGGGCTTCGGCAACCTCAACAAGGTGGTGCTGTGCTTCGAGCGCACCTTCTGGGACTCCAACGCCAACCTGTTCGGCCACGTGGGCAGCACCACCACGAGCAGGGGTGAGTCTCTGGCGGCATGGCGCACAGTGGGCCAGAAGACCGGTGGCGGCGGTTCAAACCCCGGACGCGTTTTGAGCTCCAGAGTCGCTAAATGGGACTTTGCGTTGCAGGCGAGCTGTTCCTCTTCTGGAACCTGTACCGCGCCCCGGTGCTGCTGGCGCTGGTGGCGGGCGAGGCCGCCGCCATCATGGAGAACGTGAGTGACGACGTGATCGTGGGCCGCTGCATCGCCGTCCTCAAGGGGATCTTCGGCAACACGCAGGTCCCGCAGGTGGGTGCACGTCCTGGGTTCAAGACCAGCCCGTTGGCCTCTTTTTCTTCGGTGTTTGAAAACATCCTTTGTGTTTCAGCCCAAGGAGACGGTGGTGACCCGCTGGCGGGCTGACCCTTGGTCCAGGGGCTCGTACTCCTTCGTGGCGGTGGGCTCCTCCGGCAGCGACTACGACGTGCTGGCCGCCCCCGTGACCCCTCCCTCGGCCACGGCCGCTGCCGCCGCGGCCGCCAACAGCACGGCGTCGCCCGGATCCACCGCGCAGCCGCCTAACCCACCGCCCAGGCTGTTCTTCGCAGGTACGTTCGCCTTCCAGTGTCGTCGCTGCGGATTTTTGCCGATTGAACCTACAGTTGAAACGTTTTCCGCTTGCAGGCGAGCACACGATCCGGAACTACCCGGCCACGGTGCACGGCGCGTTCCTGTCCGGACTCCGGGAGGGCGGCCGCATCTGCGACCAGTACATCGGCTGCCCCTACGCGCCGCCCGCGTCGGCCACCCCCACCACCGCAGCCCCCGCCGCCCCCGGGACGCCCGTGGCGCCTCCGGCTGCAGCCGCCGCCGCCGCAGCGGCCGCCTCCCCCAGCAAGAGTTCCACGCCGTCGGTGGCCTGACACCTGCCCGTCGTCCGGGCCGGCCCCAGGGCCGCCCCCCGGCCGGCCTCCGCCCCCGCCCCCTCCACGACGCGGAGGTCGGTGGTCACCGGGAACAGGCAGCAGCCCCTGAAGAAGCGTGTCTGAGAGTTCTGAGAGACTCTGACTGATCTCACCGGATTGGAGATGAACGCGTGTGTGAATGCGTGGTGAAGTCCCCGGTGGGGTGTTTCCGTTTCTGTGTGCGTGTGTGTGTGTTTGTGAGTGTGTGTGTGTGAGATACTGAGTGACTACTAGAGAGTGGCTTGACTGAATTGCTGAATGATGTTCCCTATCACTTTTTAATTTGTGTGACAAAGACGTTGCATTGGCCTCTCGGCTGCATCCTTTACCTCTTGTAAACAACGTAACTCAAATGGTGATGCACTTGCAGAGCATCGAGTGATGTAATTTATAGCTAGTTAATGTCGCGATTTACCTGATTAGTTGTTTCAACGTGATGAGTGTTCACAGCTCAATCTTCTTGCATTTGTACCTAAGTCTTTTTTTAAGAGTATGTTGGATGTCTCAGAACATATTATGGATTACGCTGAGAAGCTCTAGATTTCCACAACGTTAGTGAAGCCTTCGTGTCTATTTATTTTGTACTTAGATAGTCCTAGATAATCATGAAATACCACTTTTAATCATAGGCAACCTTCATGTTTTCTATCAATAAATGATATTACTACTGTATAATTGATAATATTATTTTTCCACCCCCTTACTCCGTACCATTTACAAACAATCCAATGTTATCAAAAGAGGAATATAACACAAATCAAACATAATCAAACAAAATTAGAAAGAATTTGAAAAGAATTTGAAAATATTAATCAAAATATCCACGGTAAAAGGTCTGTTGGCAGCCAAGTCAAAGCCACCTTCGCGGCAATAATGCTGCCATATAGAACAAAGGGGAATCCGTTACGAAACACTTACGTCCGCTGTAAGTTCCACGACTTGAGTCCTGCTGCTACCATCTCCACTACATCTCTGCTATTCAGCAGTCGTGGTGGGTCGGTCGCCCTGCACAGCCCTGCACACTGCAAAACCATACCACCGTGAGAGGAACGTTGGGTAACAACGCGCCGTGTCGCGTTAGAGAGCCGCAGAGTTAGAGGGCGGCCCGTGCGGCCATATCTCACAGAAGCAGCGGCCGGGCGGAGGGGCTTCCGACGCGAGTCCGTTGGGGCTTCCCTCCGGGAAGCAGGCCAACTTCGGCCTTTTGTGGCCGACTAGGCTCACACACTGGACGCATATGGCCCGATCGAATGCGGAGGGCATGCATACGGCATGAGGCTGAGCGACCCACAAACCCATGCCGAACTTACGCAAGGACGGGACGCACAACAAGGCGCACTTTCACGAGTAGTGGCTTCCAGTGACCAAAAGACAGTCGGACGCTGGTTCGAGCGTCGCCGAGGTAGAGGTAGATAGCCTGCGGACAGTCACAGCCATAACTTCAAGATCGTTGCAGCACAAAAAAAGAGTTTTCAGAAAAAGTCGTTAGAGTTATCGGTGTTCGAACCCGCGACCGCGGTCTTCCGCGAGGCTGAACCGGTAACGGAGGCCGTTACCGCGCGCCTTGCCGCGCCTTGCCGCGGCGTGCACAAGTTCCGAGGGTCGTTTGTTGCGCGCATTGCGGCCTATCGCCTCCCATTCGGACTCATCTTCAGGGGGACTGTCCACAAACCGAGCCAGCAGGAGCAGCAGAAGCAGCCGGGCGCGCGGCCCGCGCGGCGTAAACAGTCCAACACTCGCCGGCGACGTCCCCGCACCGCCAGGAGATTCAAAAGCAGGGCCTCCTCGGCGTGCCCGCGGAGCTACCCGCTGCAGGCCGATTCCGGGAGTCGCTTTCGTCGCTCTGTCTCTCTCGCACTCGTGGGGCGCCCCGTATGGGTGCGAGAGAGACAGAGCGACGAAAACGACTCTCCGCAGTGCACCGACAGAAGAAGAGTGCCAACCGGAGCGGAACGTTATGCGACGAAACGTAAATTGCTGCTTCGCGCTGCTCCACCGCGGGGCCACAGCGGGGCGTGGTGGAGCCATGCCAAATCGACCGCGAGGCGGGCGAGGCGCGAGGCCGGGGATTTTGCATGCTTCCTCACCTTCATACCCATCACGGCACTTTTTCTTTCCGTTCTGAACCGGGTTCTGTAGGTCAGCGGGTACGACACGCCACGCCGCGCCGGGCCCCAAACGGCGGGCCTAGATTGGCCGGCCAGCAGACTGTCTCTCTCGCACCCGACGGCACGACGGCACGCGGCACGAGTGCGAGAGAGACAGCGACAGCGGCCCGCCAGCGGGACGTCCTGTCTATCGCCGCGACGTGCGAATGGCGCCGAATGGCGCCGAATGGCGCCGAATGGCCCGCTAAAGGGAGCAAAGTCGTGCGCGACGCGCGTGGGCCGCGCCGCCGCCGTGCAGTCGCTCTGTCTCTCTCGCACCCCTACGGGACGCCCCGCGAGTGCGAGAGAGACAGCGACAGGCCAGGTGTCCCTTTCAACTCCCTTTTACTCCGACGGGCCGATCTAGGTGGCCTATACAGTGTGGGGGCCGTGGCCCGTGCCGTAGCGGCCTGAAAAAAAAAGGCGAGGCAGTTCGAAGTGTCGGCGACCTGGAGAGAGAGAGAGGGACGGTTGCATTACGAGGCGCATGTAATGGAGACAACCCCAATGCCAAGCGTTTTCTTGATGCCCACCGAACACACGTCTCGCTCCATCACGAGCCTCTCACTCACACTCACACACTCGCGCACCAGCGCCGCCGGCGACCCTCTCTCAGTGACAAATCCGCAGCGGCCAGCCAATAATGTACCCTATCGAGTGTAGTGGCGCGCTCGAAATGCGGCGCCTTGCGAAACGTGTTTATCTTTGGGCGGCCAAGCGAAGGGAGACTATCGTGGGGAATGCCGGCCGGGCCAGGCCGGGCCTAGCACCGCCTTCGTCGCGCTCCGTCTCTGTCGCACTCGCGGGGCGTGCCGGCGTGCCGCGTGGGTGCGAGAGAGACAGACGCTGCCCGCGGGCCCACGGTAGCGCGGCTAGCGCGGCGCGGTCCACATGGACCACGGCTACGCGTCGCGCGCAAGTTTACGCTCGCCGTAATGGATTTGCCGGCACTATCGGCGCAGATATCTGGGACAAGACCGAGCGTGGCCGGCCCGGCCGGGCCGCCCCCGGCGCCGCACCGCCCTCCCCGACACCGACAAGCACCTCGCCGCGGACGTCGATCCGATGGAACAATATCGCAGGCCGGCCCACTGACGGGACGGGACAGTCATGAGCAGTAAAGAAGCCGGCGGAACGACGCGAAGACCGTCAAGCGTCGCCAACGGGACGGCTTTTTAACGCGTGTTCTAGGTACCAGTGCCTCGCGGACCTCGCGGGACGGAACGCACAAGCCCTGGGGCGCTGGCTCGCTGAAGACAACAACAACAACAACAACAACAACAACGTCCACCCGCAGCACCCCCGGCAGGCCCTGGAGCTGCTCCCACACCCCAGAGCCCTGAGCGCGGTGGCGTGGTGGCGCCAGGTCTCGCGGACTTGGCCGCATCCGAGGGCGTTTTAATCTTCCCCTCATCTCGGAGCAAACAGCGATTTATGCCCGGGCGTTGTTTATTGCAGAGGAACTCCACGGTTCCGCCGTAAAACACCAATAAAACAGGAGCCGGACTGCGGCGGCTGCGGCACTGCGCATAGAGAAGTACCTGTCCGCGGTGCGCCCCGCGCGGGAACCAGCGGGGACCCCGGCGGCCCGACTCCTGACTCCGTCTCTCTCGCACTCACGGCGCGGCCCGCAGCGGTGCGAGAGAGACAGAGCGACGACCAGCGCTGCTCGGAAGCAGCAGGGCCTTCTGCTTCTCGGCCGCACTCCACGGAATTTGGTAATTGCTGGGCTTGCGCGACCCGCGGGGGAAAGCGCACGGATAAGTGCGTGTGGTGAGCAAGCAAACCGCGCCCCTCCGAAAAAAAAAGAAAACAGAGAAAAAGTGGCGAAAATAAGCACCGGTGTTTGAATGTGGTTCATTGGCAGCGGGGCGCGAGGCGCTAATCATGAGCATGTGTTGCTGCTGCTGGTGGGGCTGGCGTTGCCGCTGATCTGTGAATGGAGCGCGCGCGTGACGCTACAACAGTACTTGAGGCCATCTGCGCCGCGCCACGCCGCGCCACGCCGCGCTTGCAGTGCCGCAGCCTGCGTTCGACTTTTACACATTGCACACCATTAGGCTGCAGGCGCCTGCCTGCATTACGCCGCCGAGCTGATGGTATCGCCTCCGTAGACTTGGGGCCGGCACACTGCGAGCACACTGAGAGTCGTTCGCGTCGCTCCGTCCCTCTCGCACTCGTGGGGCGCCCCCCGTGGGTGCGAGAGAGACAGAGCGACGACTCTCAGTGTGGGAGCAGGCCGACGGCCTGAGGCAGCCCAGCCGAAGGCCCGGCCAGCGCCTTGCAAAACAGCGAGCGTTAGCGCTAGCGCGCTAGCGTGAGGTAAGCCGTAAGAGTGCGTTTTACTTGCAAGGCGGTGGGCCTTGCCGTGGGCCGCCCTGCACTGCCCTGCACGCGCTGGAGGTGTAGGACCTACAAGGCGGTGAAAGGCTCCTCCTGCGAACGGCCCTTCGTCACCCTGTCTCTCTCGCACCCGTGCGGCGGGCCTCGCTAGTGCGAGAGAGAGGCAGCAATGAGTGGTCCGTCAGCCTGCCAGACTCGGGGTAGGCCGCGCCGCCGCGCACCGCTGCACCCCGGCTGCCTACCTGCACGGCGCTCCAGCAGCCGCCTCGGCCAAGCGTTGGAAGAGACGCAAAAAGAACCATCCATGCTAGCTTTTAAATAAAAAAAAAAACTTAAGTGGGCATTGAACCCAGGTCACCAGGTTTTCGGGATGACGCCGCTACGCGCTCGGCCGCAGCTGATGCCGTGCGTCACCGCGGTGCCGCGAGGAGCCTGCAATAAATTTCCGCTCGTCTCTGTCAAAATCTA